TAGGATACAGATGACAGCTGTCTTCTTTTACTGATCATAGATGTTAAGGAGGGCCCGGGTACAGGCGCCAGCTCCACGTATATGCATGGTTATACACCTTTATGGATATAGAAAGAGAATGATCTAAGCAGATATTCATCATCTCATTCTCCCTCCCTCTCTATTCTTCCTACTCCCTCAATCCTCTTCTATTTCATCTCTCTTTTCTCTGTAACCCTACTGTCATTCTTCCTCCTGCTCAGACACCTTCATAACTAACATCCTAGTGGTCCGACTCATGGGTTATTTCCCTAAGAGTCTAGTGCTTGGTTTCTTGCCAGCCCAAGGCAGTAAGACAAAAGCTCCTTTGAGGGCTCTCCATAAACTATCTCAAGTAGGGTAGGCTCCGAAAAAGAGAGATAGCTGGTGTTGTAGCAATATCCGGCTCATGAATCCAACCATTAACTTGGCTTCTTGGTTGAAAAAATTGTAAATTCATTTCAGTGTGCAATTTACGACCTCTGTCTGCCCAGCAGATTTAAGGTTGGGAAGCAGAGCTGAATGCCAGACAGGTTCCAGGGAGGTCAAAAAGTTCTTTCCAGAAGGCACTGGTAAAGATCATGTCCTGGTAAAGTGATGATGGACTCAAGTAACCATTATTACTTGAAGATGCAATCAAAGAGCAAAGGGGCTAGTTAGAGAAGTGGTTGGAAGTGTGCATACTTAGAGAAGTGGTTCATGACTTCCAAGATTACTATTTTGTTATGGAAAAGGAGAAGACCTTCAACAGAGCTAGATGTTGGCGATATTTGTTTTACAATGGGTAATGGCTGGAGGAGGTTTGCTGGTTGCTTCAACTCTGCAGTGCTGACAGGCTGAAGAGGATTTCTCTTGCTTATTTTGCTTTTGGCCGTTGCAACAAAATTGATAGCAATGTGTCTTAGTGTCTTTTGGTATTCTTCACAGCCTTGGTTATGGAGGACCAAGAGGACCAACAATATTTGTGTGAAGTGGCATGAAGATTTTCTCGCAGATGAGTAGGCCATTCTAGAAAGTCCATAGACCTGCCTCACTAGTTTGTACTTGATCCACCAATTTTTGCAAAAGCGGTGATATAGAAATTTCCTTAGATGGCATGAAATATGTCCAGTTGATACATGTAAATTGCTTCTAGGTTGTCTCCTTATTATACCGTTGGGATAGTATGGAATGGTGGCCACAACTTTTTCTTCCCTGCTTGATACTCCCCAGCAAAATCAAACCTCCTTAGTTTGCTCAGTCAGCATTTTTTGGAGAAGTCACCTCTATGTTCCTTAAAAAGTTTCAGACTGTATTAGTCCTTACCATTCAAAACTGCCCCACAGGTATGGTCAATAATGTCAAACGAATTGAGCGATCCCCATGAGCTCTTATTCAAATGCAGGTAACTGATGGTAGCGAGCAGCCAAAGTTTG